AAACGTACAATATTTAACATATTAATCGTATAACGAATACGGAATCTGTTAAATAACAATTTTATTAACCTTAACGGGCGGTTTCCTTGTAATATGAGATATAAGAAAATTCATGGCTATATCCTCGCAATTCATGTACTCATCAACTTTATCTCGTATAGCTTGAGGCAACCAGTGTGTGTACAGATATGTATAATGTTTATGAATGAATGCTGCTCCAGTTAAAACCATTGATAACTCGCATGAATAATTAGAATTATAATTCCAAGCATTATGAAAGTTCTGGTCCCACGCGTGAAAACGGCCAGGGAATCCTACTACACGATCGCGATGTTCTCTCCACACTCTGTAAACATGCTCAATAAACCGTATCCTTTAAATTCTATGCTACACGGGTTACAAATAAGAAGTAAGAAGTTACCTAAATCCAAACATAATCTCATCATGTCTTAAATGAGCGTCATCATCGACTGAAAGAACAGCTTCCGTTTCGATAGCATCAAATGGCAAAAACCTATTATTTAAACTATTTCTTGATGCTTTTATGACCTATTTAAAAACATTTCCGTTTGTAAATTGATAGTTTCATTTATAGAATTTCATAAGCTTACATGAATTGGAACTCCAATATCTGGCCACTTTAAATCTTCCATTGGTGGTTTTGGACTATTCCATACTACGAGAACTTTATTCAAATATGGTAATCCATACAGTCGTGCCAAAGAATTTATAAGAACCTGCTCTCTTTCATAACTTAACATTACAATTGTAAATTGTTCTCTTGGATAATTTCCACCTAAAGCTTCACTGAATTCTTTGCCTGCACCACCCGCACCTTTGCCGATTGGTCTGAATCCCACTTCAGACCCTGCAATTTATACAATACCAATGGAAGTTTTCATCTTTAATAAGTTCAACATTATTTTTATTTACCAAGAAATTTTGCGTCGCTAGGAAGAACAGTATCGAAAGGCAACTGTGGGTATAAATAAAACGGATCCACCCAATCATTCCAGATTTCATGACCCTGAAGTAATATTGTGGTATAATTTCTTTTAAAAGCAGGAGATGGATAAGGTGGTTCTAAGGGGCCTAAACTTTCTTCTGCTTCTGGCTCAGCAATAATGGCATCAGACTTTAAAGGCTAAAGAAATGTAAAATGATTATAAATAATTCAAAGTGGACACTGTATAACTTTATCTTGTAATCGTTACCACAAAGCTTTCGTTAAAAACACTTGGACTGGCAGTTTGTGGTGCTGGCAATGGTGGTATACCAAGTCGATCTCTGATAACAGCTACAATAGTGTCTACTGCACCTTGTGCTGTGCTTAGATATCGTTCCCATATCAGTCTGCCCTGTCTACGCATACTTAAAATATCAGTATCGGGTACAGCGCGCAGAAGGAAATGCATTTCCGTTACTCTGGCCTTCGGTAAAAATATTGCAGCTTTGCGCCAACTAATCACTTCACTGTAACTCAACAAAATTTGATCGCCACCTAAGAAAACTGGAATAGATCCCGACCGTAAAGCTTCATACAGTCTTGCTTGCATAAATGAAGTAGTCACAAAAGAAGCATTGCTAGGTGCCAGAATTAAGGCGAATGTAGACTCCTTTAAAATAGCTTTTCTTGATGAATCAGTTCCACAAAGGGACCAATCTAGAATTTCAACAATATTTTTCTCTTCTGCAGCTGGAATACATTCAAATTGAATAAAGAATTTGTCCAAAGTCGTTCCTGTACTCATTTCTTTAAGGTGTTGGATAATAAACGCATCAAGATTATTTTCATCAACTGATAATCTTTCCAAGTCTGCATCAGTATCATCTATTTGATTTGTCATGGTTGTTGCTCTTGGAGATCTCATTTCTCCTTGAAAGGACAACAAATATTTCCTTCTTGCTGGTAACATTTGAGTACATTCTTGCCACACATCACCACCTGGAGGTCCCAAAATTGGTGGGACAACCAGATCAAAACCTTCATTAAATTGATGTCTATAAAATGTTGATTGCACTATTATAGCCCTTCCAGTATCTATACCATTAAAAATATTGCCAGATTCTATGGATAGATCCCTACGTGCAAGATTCAATAAAATGTGATTTCTGCCATCTCCACCCCAATAAGGAAGTGTATGTAACTTTTTTACATCTATAACCTTCCTATTTTTCTTATCAACCCTTTCTTGGGTGGAAAGAGCCTCTCCTACTAGTACTATGTATATACATGCTTCAGCTGCATTTGCAGTAAGATGTGGATTGTATCCTATTAGACAAAATTCTATTAGATAATTTTAACTTATAAACAACTATCAATGATTATAGAAATACATACCTAATGTTTGTTTTATGGTAGTTTGTAAAAATCCATCAACATCCCAGCCAGGATTTATTATGGAATACTGATCTGGATCATACAAATAAACTGGAAATCCACTTGTTAATGCACAACGACTATGATCAAAGCAATTATACATTCTGCACGAATGTGATGCAGTATTGGGTAATACTACAGGAACAGAATTCATTAATATACGCTTAGGAGGTGCCAATTCTGGTGTATTTCTTTCCACCGCTTCTCTCTGTGCTACTTGTGCCTGCTCAACACTAATCTTTAATCTATCAAGATCTGTTTGTTGATGAAGCAGTTCTTGCTTCAATTCATCTATCTTTTGAGTTAAACTACTGACTTCCACTTGAAGTCTTTGCCTCTTTGCACTCAAGTCCCTGAGTTCATTATTTACAGAAACTTTAATACGTAACATTTCCTCGATTCTCATTTTCAGTTGAGAAGCCTTCATAGATGTAAAATCCTCGAAAGCTTCCAATGTGGAAAAAGTACGATAAATATCTCTATCTGGTGAATCAGATTCTACCTATAATACAGAGTTTGTTATAATTTCATTTTGCTACATTTGGAATTTTTGTAAAAGTTTAATAATGACTATTACTTTTGACAAATAATAATGAGTAAATAGTGGTACAATAAATAAAACTGCAGATGTTAACATAATAATCCTGGATAACTTGATATGTGTTATCCAATGACGAAATTCTCTTCCGCTTCCATTCTGATGATGCAATGGAATTAAATCAAATACGCTTCCCCCCATTGTGACTGTTATAGACTACTGTTCATGTTTATTCAAATCTGAAGCCTATACGTCTGATTCATGATTACTTGATAAACGTCTGAAAATATAAGTAAATATAAGATTGAATAAATGTTAATTACACACATCAAAATTTTCATTTTATGTGAGAAATTATCAAACTTTTGTAAAGTAAAAAAATTATAAAAATAACAAAATATTTCTTACCTATAACATGGTAATCGTGAAATTACAATTAGCATTATTGCTCAGTAACCTAACAAGGCAACTATCCTCCACTCATTTTTTTGACAACCATAATCAGTATTTATTAAATGTATTGTTACAGTTACCAAAGAATTGACAGATTTATTTGACTTCGCACGCTCTTCCAAATAGATCTCTGTCCGTTGGGATGTAAAGAAAGAATTGTCAAAATCACACAAGCACCGAATCCATTTCACAGGCAACATTTAGGTTAACAATTCGAAAATAACATCGGATTAATTAACGTTACATGTTAATGTTCACTCATTCGACTTACAGTTTACTATAATTTTGTAACTTCACGGTACGAGTATTTAATCGTGTGAGCCCAGTATTTATGATAATGTTCTGTTGTTTTTTAAAGTAGCTTGGACATCGCGTTTCATTCGAGCAACACGTAAAAAAAGAATCCTACGTCGATGCCACTGAACGCCGAGCCGAATTACGCGATGTTTTCGACGATTACTTTTTTTTTAACCAACCTCGCGCTAAAATGCGTGGCCTGAGAAATTGAACGTGAACCCTTTCAAATAACCCGCGACATTGTCCTCGAAATAGTTTTCCTTTGACAACGTCTGGTGGCATTGCTCATAGGCCCGCTGGTGTCTATTTGCATTTCTCGGAGCCTTCGCAGAACATGCGCATGTTCATGTCAAGTGCAGTGCAAAGGAAATAATATTTTGGCTTTCGGGGGCCTAAAATTAGCTAAAATGGTGAGCCTTTTGCAAATTTCTGTGTCGTATTCACGCAACCATCTTTACGGATCAATCGCAAAGTGAAAATCGTTGTTCCTTGTCAGGGGTTTACGCAAACGTAATGAAAATGTTGGAATAACCTATCGGATTTTAATGTTAATGATTCCCTTCGCACGGAATATAAACTGGTTCATCGACATACATTTTGGCTAAGGAAGATTAGTGAATAATGCTTACATACGTTTTTGAGTGCCTATAAAACGTATCACTGTCGTATGAAAATTCTCAAACTTAGAAGTATTGTTTCACTGAGATCATACTCAATGTATCATAGTTGTTGTATACGTAACAAAGTCTTGTTTGTTTATATATCTTTCTTGAAATGAACGTCAGTGTAACAAAAGCCCTGTGATTACGTATAAATAGTTTCTATAGTGAAGTTCTGCTAAAGACGATGTGCAAATGAACATTGGACTATAGCATTCTTCCTATAATTCCGCCAAATATATGTTGAGGTTTCATAATATTCAAGTATTTTGTTTATTTTTTGTTATAGAATAAGTTAAAGTTCTCACAACGAGAAAAGGTGAAGATATTCATAACATGTACACAAGCGGGAGAACAAACAGCAATATATTGTTTATCGCAGAATGATTGGAAGCTAGATCTTGCAAGTGATAATTATTTTCAAAATCCTGAGGCTTACTATAAAGATCCAAGGATTTTTGTGGATAAAAAGAAATTAGAGATATTATTTAATCGATATCAAGGTAAGTGTTGGTCACTTTTTATTCGTTAGATAATAAATTCATATTGTTTTATGATACCAATTTGCTAATGTCTTTAATTCTTAATATGTACATTCTATTGTAATCTGGTGGTTAACATAGATCCAAATGAGCCAGACAAGATTACAGCAGATGGGATAATGAAATTTTTGGACGACCTAGGTCTAAGCCCTGAGAGCAAATTAGTATTAATCATTGCTTGGAAATTTAGAGCAGAAACTCAATGTGAATTTACTAAAGATGAATTTATGAATGGCATGATGGATTTAGGGTAATTTAAAAAATTCCCATCATTTTCTTGTTTTCATGTACAATATGTCCAAATTAATATTGGCATTACTTTAAACAAACTAATTGAAATTACCATTTCAGTGTGGACAGTATAGATAAATTAGAAGCTCGTTTAAGTAGTTTAGGAAATGAATTGAGAGATCCTCAAAAATTTAAGGATTTTTATCATTTCACGTTTAATTATGCGAAAAATCCTGGACAAAAGGGTTTAGATCTCGATATGGCAATTGCCTATTGGAATATTGTATTAGTTGATAAATTCAAGTTCCTGCCATTATGGTGTCAGTTTTTACAGGTAGAGATTTGAAGGAAATTATTAATAATCAATTAAAAAATCACAAAACAAAAATATTCTTAAATATGTTTAATATTATTTTATAGGAACACCATAAGAGATCAATTCCAAAAGATACATGGAATTTGTTATTAGATTTTGCACTTATGATCAACCCTGATATGAGTAATTATGATGAAGAAGGAGCTTGGCCTGTATTGATAGATGATTTTGTAGAGTGGGCACAACCTCGAGTTCGTCAGTCCCTCTAACATCTCCTTATTACATCTATAACTTTATGTGAAAAAAGCTTTATTTATTCAATTATAAAATTGTATAATCAAGTGATACTTAAACATATTTTTTTGATAAAGCATTATCATTTTACTTCATGTACAGAATGCGACAGTGAGGCAAAACACGCGATAATTATTAGAGTCGATTATACTGTATAATAACGTTGTAATGTAAAAACATTTTGCTTAAAAAAAGAAATGTTACTTTCTTATATGAAAAAGTAAATCTTATTAAATCGTTGTAAATCTAAATTACATTAACTTTAAAGCTTTACAACATTATTGTAAGTTTAAATCTACAATATTATAAATCCATCTGTACAAAGTAATATGATGTATAATCAGTTTATTCTTCAAAACAACGTAGTAACAGTGGAAAATGTTGCTCAATTACCGGAGGTGTTAGCAAACATTAGGAAAAATCGCTCATTATGTTCCTTTTCAAGAATCTAATTTTGAAAGGAAAAATTTTAAGAGAGATTCGTTATACGTTTTTGTAGATAGTAATTCCTAGAAATTGCGTTATTAAAAATTGTTATTAAATGAATTTTACGACACTACATAACACTTGTAATATATATACAAAATACACTAAGAGAAAAACAAATCTCTATTTTAAATGTAACGCAACTTTGGCACTGCTACACTTATTTTGTCTCAGAAGATTTGTTTCCGTTTTATTGCTATAAAGAAATATTTATATTGTAATTCTGAGATACTATAGATGTTAGGAAAAATAAATTAAGAATTTTTTTACAAGTTTAAATTATGACTTTCATTTATAATTATTGCTAATGAAACGTATCTTTTCTTTTAATAAACTAAAGAAACATTACTATATATTCAGCTTGAAATGTTGAAAAAATTTTTGTGCAGAATCAATTTCATTTTCATGTTATTTTATTTTAGAGTACAATGTGTGATTAATGCTTGCGTAGTGTTAGTAAAATACATAATGAATTTTCAATGCTACTAATTGTTTTAATTTATATAAAATACAAAGAGATTAAAGAAATATAATGTAAAGATATATATATACATATATATACACACACACAGATATACGTATATCTCTGTAACTTTATAGTTAACATTTAAGAAATCAAAAACATCATGTGCACCTATGTATACTAACATACAAAGGCGCAAAGTGGAAAATTAGTAACACAAAGATGCGTCGTCCATAAGTTTCGGATTATATTTTATAAAAAATTGGAATAGATAGAGTGAAAAAGATTCTGATTAAGCTATACATTATAAAACAAGTCTAGTTTAATAATGTCAGGTATACGTTTATGCAATGTAAAAAAAAGAATTCATAATCACTGACACTATATTTATTACTCTTTAGAGAATACACTTTCAAGTTTAAACTGCAGTTTTCTTTTAATTATTTTAGCATTGCGTAAACAAAAAATTGTAATAGTTTTAGAAAGAGATTGTACAAATGTAAATAAATTTATCAGTCTTAATCTACATAAGATGTTTGATTGAAAGGAATATACTATAATTATTAAAGTGTGATATAATCATTATACCACAACAATAACTTTTAAGTAAAACTTTAGCCCTAAGGAAATGAACTTCTCATTTTTATTTAAATTTTACCATTTTTTTTTATTTTAATGTATTTACGTACTTTGAAAGGGTTTAATTATACATACATAAAAAAATTAAATCATTTTAATAAAATAATATTACACTAGTTGCAAAAATTGCTACAAGTGCAAGGAGAATTACATCCACAGCAGTCAGTATCTTTTGGATATAGAAAAGCTAATTCATATTGTTGATTTGATTCCATGTTATAGTATTTGTTTAATATATTCTCGATATACCACTTGCATAAAAATTGCAATTTATCTATAGTCGTCTATATATTTTTTTATTATTAGTTCGTAAAATTCCATACCATTTATTAAGAATTTAATAATATTTAGTAAAGTTAGTTAAGTTTTACCTGTGCAATAACTAATCCCCGGTTTGATCTTGCATTTATCTGATGGCTATGAGAGTCAAAAAAAGTTACCTATAAATGAACAATATTTATAATGACAAATAATATTGCAAATAAATTACAAATAAATATTTTACCATATGAGTGTTTTCTTGAAATATAAATAAAACCGTGCGACCACAGGTAATAAGAAGCATGAATAAGTTTTTGGACTTGGGCAGTGCGTACCATTTCTGTAAAAAGTGACTTATGTTTTGATATAAACCTTTTTCAATTCTTTCATAAAACAATTGAAATGTCTGTAATACAAAATATAATTTTAAGAAATAATTTTATTGTTATATAATTTGATAAAAATGTAGTCGTATATACCCATTCTTTCAATATATTCAATCTATCGCCTCCATGTCTTAATGCTTCATCTGTGCTAAGATATGGATGAGAAACTAATCGTTGTTTAACAATCCATGCATGAATAGCATTACCCTCTATCATAGCTTTAGCTATATAATTAGTAATTTCAGAAGTTGTGTCTACATCGTATATTAGCAATCCTGTTTCAGATATTAGTTGTGCCACGAGAAGACAAATTAGAGTACAAGCTTTGCTGACTAGTATGAGATTACAATAAAAAAAGGTATATATGTTGTTCAATTCAATTAAAACACGGAAAATACATAAAACAATAATTTCTTATTACCTCTTTGTCCTGGTGGATATCGACTTTGTGCAAATTCTTCATTGTACCAATATACTGTGACATTATTATACACATATTCTTTTATATATGAAGGAAAATGAGAGTCGATTATTAACGACGGTAATAAGGACATAACTTTCTGTAGAACTATTTAGTGTAAATGTTGTGTATTATTTTAAAAATTTTGTGGTTGAAAACATTTTTTTATCCAAGTGGGTCAGACATGATTAAATTTCACTCATAGATTTTTTTGGTTTTTTTACAGCGCCGTCCCGTGTCATTACTTACAATTGAATAACAGAGAACTATTTCTTTTATCATAGAAATATTTTATAATATTAGACATTTTATTTACTTCGCAGTGTCAACTTATAAATTAATAATAGTCTTAGATTTTGTTTAAAATGTCCATATTCTGAGATAAACTGATTAGTTTTCATTACACTTCAATATGAATGATATAAAAAAAGAAATTATTCTTGCTTAATTAAAATAAATGAACATTTAATAATTAAATTAAATGAGATAAAGAAAAAGTATATTTCCAATTCAGAAACTTCTATTAGTATATTTATTACCCATATAATCAGTTACTTCATAAAAACTGTACAATTCATCAAGAAATAACTCATATTTTATTTCCTAATATATTTGTGTAGTCCATCTAAATGTATTTCTTGCAATTACATTTTATTTGCATTGTTGTAATTGTAGTAATGACTTACATTTTATTGATTATGTAATAACTTGCTTGTTATAGTTCCATGAATTACTATTTATATTCAGCGTTCATTAAAAAGTTGAAGCATGTAGCCTAACTATTAATTTCCCTTTTATATACATGAGTGTATTTAACACTTATTGTATATAAATGTAAAACGTATGTTGTATTTATTGTTTATTTAGCAACAGAAATTGAAAATTCATTTTACATAAACCTTGCACAAATTTAAATCATGTGTATAGTTATAAATAATTGAATGCAATAGAATAAAATATATTCTGTGGATGTAAAGAAAATAGATATATGTATACATATGTATATATATATTTACATTTAATATATTGTAAAAATGGAAAAGCCTAGATGCGTGTTGATGGTGTACATCAAATTAGTCGAGACGAATGTTTTCGAATAACACATTTCTATTTAAAAAATTCAGTTTCTAAATCGATAACAGTTTCCATGATACTCTGACATGTTTTTCTTTTTCCATGCGATAGTTCTTATAAAAATGCACTTTTAAAATAACCGTACCTTCGAGAAAGCGATTTAACATTTTCCGTTTGTAAGTATGTATATACATGTTGATGGATAAAAATCATTTTATTACTATTAAAGTTTGTTTCGGTCTTTTATGGTTTTCATAAGACAAATGATGTATGTAAGTATGAATATGATTTATTTTTTTAAGTTCAAAAGTTAAAATATTTGTCTAAAGTCACTTTTCCTCCTTTTTTCGCGAGTATTAATAAAATTGCATTTCCCTAAATGTATCATACATCCGAATGGCTCGACAGAAATGTCTCTGTCAATGCAGAGCTGCGCTGGAAACTGTTTTACACGATTAGTCTCCCCTCATCAGGACATCAGATTCTTCTTCGTCTTATTTATTATATCTGAAAAATATTATTATGCGGACAAACAAATATTGTGTAATTATTTCAACATCAAGTACTCCTAAAAGGTGGAGCGTAATATTGTTTACCGTTAATCAAAAAGATCTATATGAAGTAGGATAACGCGTCGGTATACTTGAGGTAATATGATTTGACAAATGTTCCCATCCCAAGTTCTTTGCAATTTCTATGCATTTTTCGTCAATTTCTTTCAGTGGTTTTTCTTCGTAGTAACGCATTAGTAATTTCAAGTAGCGGCCGCTATGATTGTTGATATGAGCATGCCAGAGAGAAAGCATAATGACCTGTAACAAGAAGCATCCTACCGTTATTCAAATTCCTTCAAATAATTGAGAATCATCGTTAAGTGTTTTTGTAGAACAATATTCTATTTCTTGCCTTGCTGTCCGTTGGCTCAGCAAACTTCTGTACTTCTTGCCAATGGTTTGTAACACTCTCTAATAAATGTTCGTATGATGCACGATCTCCTTCTCCTTTCTTTACATTGTGTACGTATAATCGTGCCAGTGCACATCCTTTCTTTACTAGTGCTTCTATCAAACTGCTCTTCTGTTTTTCCATAGTCGCTTTAATTTTCGCTGCATCAGTGCGCTGGTCATTCTTCAAACCGTAATACGCTAACAGTTTATCCTGATCTATGTTGGTAATCACAGCATCAGCGACAGTTATTATTTGATTTGCAAGAGAAATAGCACTCTCTGAGAGATCGTCATGTGGTACATGACGTCGTGCTTCCGGGGAATCCAAAGAAGTCAACATAGCAGTGTGAACGGGCAAATGATCAGAAAAAAGATTCTTTAACTCTCCATACAGTAAATTTGCGTATTCTCCGGGTCCTATTATTAAAAGCCATAAATTAATCATATTACTAAGACCGAAACGAAGCACGTATATTTATGTCACAAACGAAACGGTAAATATATAAACGAATAAAAGAAATGCACATAAAATATAATAAAACAGTTACACCATTCAATATTGGATGAGTAATTCATATTTGGGATATGAAACAAACCTTTTTGATATTTTAAAGGCTGTAAGAAATACTTAATATAAGTCACAAGGAGAAAATGTATAATTATAAACTGTTATTGCATGTACATGCGTAAGTGTGAAAAGGTTGATAATGTAAAGAACACAGTTGCTTAAATTAAATTGTATAAGGATATAAAACATAAATCGTCTAATGATCTTTTGAACTAGAACTTACTCGTAGAAGGTGCTAATTGTAGAATTGAAACCGGAAAGAAAAAGTAAAAAATATACGTGAACATAATAATAAAAATGTTTGCATGAAACATGATCATATATGAATCATATAAAATTGAAAAAAAATTTTATTACCCAGCTTTCCAAGCCAATTGCATTTCAAGTCTCTTAGTGCTTCGTTATATTCGTCCCATTTGGTAGTCTTCTCCTTGTCTGTTTTATTTGTAGGATTAGTACTCTTCTTGGCTGGTTCAGATAAAATGTATTTGAATGTGTGACAGTCTACTTTCTTTCCAATATCATCCTTACAGAATGTCAGTGTACCCTGCAGGTAACTACCCAGGGTAGCACCTTTGGAAATTCTTTAAAAAAAATAAATAAACAAAAAATTAATTATTTCTCAATTCGGTTATTATTATATAATGTATTAAGTAAATCACTACTGTGACGCGTTATGTAAAGAAGCGAATAAAACTAGAATGATAAAACGAAGCGTTATTAAGAGAAAACCACAGCATTGAAAGCATGAGGTATACTCAATATTACGGTGCTACAAAATGAAAAGATGTGTAATAAATATCGTAAGCCAAGTATTATAATTATTACATGTAGAAGAAACTTTGACTTTATTTTTACAGGTGATATATTTTTAATAAATCTCATGTAATTTTATTAAAAGCTTGATTTGGAGAAAGCAAAGGAAATATATCTTATTATATAAACTACTTTTCATGCAATGACATATATTTGCCAAAATGTATATTTAATATGGTATAATTTTGAATACTGTATGAAAACGTGGCTATGCTTAATATTATATCGTATATCTAGCAGAGCAGTATAAAACTCACTCAATAACCAAAGTAATAATAGTATGTCATTGTAGATTAGTATTTAAAAGCATTATCTACTTCAATGAATTAATATCCTTTTTACAACTACAAAGCATATAAATGTGCAAAAATGTTTATAAAAATAATACTATAGACTCACTTGTTTTCAGTGCTAAAATGCGGGATAAAAAAAAAGAATATTATCTTAGTAGCACTTTAAAGCCAATCATTTAGAATTATTAAAAGAACTAACAAAATAAATTGTATATGACAATTTAAAAAGAACTAACATTCTTCAAGAGCAAATAATAATCTAATTTATGGAATATAATCAATCTAATAACTGTTTAACATTTACACGTACATTTCGAACTCATAATTATAAAATTACCTGTATTCTTACTTATATGAGATGGAAATGTTGATGCGCGTACTACTACATGTACAAAATATATATAAAATATCCTTATAAACATACAGTAAGCATAAATTAATATCCTGTACTTTCTTGAATATTATGAAAACGCAATATTTTGCACCACTAGTTTAACGTAAATCATGAAATGAAATATGATGAAACATGTAGAAATTACGAAAGTAGAATACTCACTTGCTTTCATTCGACATAGGAGCAATGTACAAAGGAAGAATATGGCCAGGTGGGATCGAAGCTGCTACCATTTTTTTGCCACCAGTGATAGCTTGTGATTGACTAGCATATACATCCAAAGTAATTGGATTACTTAATTTTTGACTTAAAAGCAGTGGCATATCTTCTAATTTATCCAGCAAATCTTTTTTCTCATGCCTTACATGCATCTTTAAAGTATAATCTCCCTTCTCTAACTTTTGTATAGTATACTGTGAAGACATACAAAGTTATAATTTTATTCTCCGCATTTAAATCATCAACGAAATTTACCTTAGACGGATAAGCATCTCCGCAAAATATGAGTTGTTTGTTGCTGTCATAAATCATCCATAGTTGACTCTCGTATTCGCTTTCGTATAGTAGGTCGCTAAGCAAAGCAGCGTTTGGTGTTACCTCCGTTGCTTTTGCAGAATGGAACGTGTATGTTAATTGCAATTCATAAATTTGCCGCGATGGTGGAATAATATCTCGTTCCCGCAATGGGACGATCTTTGAATCAGCGGGTCTGGCGTATTAAAAAACAATACATTTAAAACTGAAAATGAAAACAAACATTATACGTGAGACTTTTAAGTATACATACTTTAATATTTGCACAGATGACTTAAGAGAAATGCTAGGAACCACTTCTTCATTTCTAAGCGAGCTTCGTAATTCCAAGCGGTTTATTCCATCTCCAGATTGCATGGTAAGGTTTCCATTTATCATATGGATACCATGAAATTCTATAGAGTAATCAATCAACATATCACCCAAATTTGTCCAGTATTTGGCAATAACCACTTCTAAGATCAATCCTCCCTACATGTGTATTTGTAAGTTAAATGTAGTTTTATTACTATATGCCTTTATTAAATTGCATCTTACAGATTTGCATTACCTGAACAGCAAATGGTTGTACAATCTCAGACTGAGAAGTAACACTGATCGTTTTATTAACCTCTAGAGTCTTGCAAGCTAAGCGAGGTTTCAACTGAACAGAGTGAACTACGAATCTTCCAGTTTTATCTTTTTCTGTACTCTTCATTTTGATAACTAAATATACATTTTGATAATTAAATCAATTAAAATTAGTATTATATTCTTAAATTTATGAACATGTATATTGTAAGAGAAACTTACCTGCCCATGTTGCATCTTCTGGAACAAGAATGAAATGTCTACGAATCGTATTAGGTTTAAACAGAATGTTTGAATATGTTAAATCTGGAAGGATGGCAGTTTTTGGCAGTGTTTGTGGTTGCACTACAGTAATTGGTATTTGGAACAGTGGCCCTTTTCCAATATCTGTTACATCATAAGCCCGGATACTATAAAGTACAATTAGTGTCAATGCAATGTATATTAAACACATAAAAGTTATGTTTTATATTATTACCAACACATTACCTAGTTGCATGAACACCTTCTGGTAAAGTCGCACCATTGATTCTTATAGCAAACGCGCGAGGCATGTGCATTAAATCGAGATGTGTTGGAAATTCAACCCAAGATGCATCACATACTAAGGTCAATTTCAAATTGAAAGCAATTTTGAGTGCTGGATCTATAAAAATAAATGGCGTAATGAATTAGACCCATATGAAGCATATTGCACCGCAATAAGAGGTAAGTAAAACTTTACCGGTATTTTCGCTATTCAGGAATATAGGCTCAACAGTAATAGAATAATCTTTTGGTCGATCAATGATACCAGTTCTCATATGAATTCCTTTGGAGTTATTTGCTCCACAGCTAACGGAAAATCTTATATCCCTTTCAGTGACGTCACTATAGGTAACAAGATTATCGAATGCGCGTTCAACTTGTAGTAATCCAGAACCTTGTGCAAAAGGATCTAAGTTTGGTACATAGAGAGCTGTATTTTCAAGAGCTCTTTTTATATTGTATGGAGAGTGTGGTTTGTTTTTGGCAAGAAGTCCTGATATAAGCACAGCTACATAATAAACAAATATTGTATTAAACACTCTTAAAATTATATATTTATAAATATAAGCTATATTAATGTTAACGATTATACACGTACCGATAGCTCCAGTTACATGCGGACTGGCCATACTTGTACCATTCATAAGTTGACTTTTTCTTAATGTAAAATTGGGAACACTAGTTATAGCTCCTCCTGGAGCACATACAGTGATACCAGCTCCTCCATCAATCATCGGACCACGAGATGACCATGTGTACGGCATACCCGGCATTTTTTCCCTTAAAGAATATTCAGCTACCATCATGTCAGGAGAAACGTAAGCTCCTACACTAATAATGCTGTTTGATTTAATATCCGGCGGTGTTCCTATTGAATTTAAAGATGAAAAATTGTTCACGAAATTCTAAGTGCATATAGAATTCTATAAAATTTTATTAACTGACCAATAGTACATAAAGCTGGACCAAGATTACCAGCAGATGCTACCCATGTAACGCCATACTTATCAATCACTTCATTTATTAATTCTCCTATTCTCCCCGTGTTTGACCAGTGTACATGTTCTCCATAACTCATATTAATTACGTGTATGTCCTCTTTATGTTTCATCACCTGTATCATTGCCCTTACTACTGCAGTTCCTGTTTCCATTGTGCCAAGACGACTATCTCCAACAGTCAGTGAAATGATCTGTGCACCAGGTGCTACACCATTTATTTCTGGATTCTCTGGGAAATATCCTGCTGCGATTGAAGCTACGTGTGTACCATGACTTGCTGTAACATAAAAAATAAATTAAGACGGTATGTTATTTCAATTTTTATCTTATTTGAGTAAAAAGAAATAATTCTATATTATAAAAACTTACAGCATAAACTAACAATCTCTAATGTGTTTCCATTGCCGTGAACGTTAATACTAATATTTAACTGATCTTCTGGTATAAGTGGCGCAAATTCCCTTGTCAGAGTATATTCTCCTAGATATACACCAGCTTCCAGATTACCTTCTTCTGAGGTATCAATACATGCTCTATTTGTATAATGATTAATGTTTATTAAAATGAATTTCCTTAACAGACATGCAAACATAAAAAGATCACTTCAATTATTTTTACCTCCAGACTTCACCATCATGAAAAACAACACAGTCATAAGTAGGTCCTACATCAGAATATTTTTTCTCAATGTTATTCAATACTTCAATTCTTGCTTCAAGTTCTTCTTTTTTAAGTCTTTCTTCTAAACTTGTCACCTGTGGGAAGTATGTTTCGAATTCCTATGTGGAACAGTAATAGAACATAAAAATCATATTAATCTCTTTTATTTTAATTAAAAATTACGTGTTCATGTAATATTAATTTATGTTTTAATTGAACTTAATTTTTTCTATAAATATTGCTGGAAATTGTAAGAAATTGCATAGCTGTTACATTTTGTGAAAATCGAAATATGAAATATTGAAAAATATAAACAGTTTAGGTGTTTTGTACAAGTACTATTATGTAATGAATCAATGCCTTTACAGTAGATCAAACTGCCAAATATAAATATAGCATTAGATAAAGATCACTGTGACACATTGTGAAACCGGCCTCATTTGATTGAATGGTTTAATGTACCCACAACAACCCTATCTTTGGATCACATGGTCTAAAATCCCAATTACAATGTCCCTACTAAATGTACATTTGAACATGTAGGTCATTATACGTTAAATATTGAATTCGAAATAAAGAATAAATGATATTAATCAACATTTTTTAAATTTAACATGGATCTATATGTATGAGAAAATACTTTATGTGAAAAATTAATAACATGCTTTTAATACATGCATAGCCAGACAAAAATAGACAATATAATTAATACAATTATTTACTTGTAGTTCTCTAGTTGCTTCTGCAAGTGCAGTTTTTTGAGAACTATCCCACAGTCGTTTTTTGCGTTCTAATAAAACTCTTTCTTTCAGTTTTCTTGGATATAATGAATATAAATTCTTTACACCAATATGATATTGTCCACTAGGATTTTTCCATTTAGCTGGAACCTAAGAAAGAAATAATATATCTTAAGAAATATAAAAATATAATGATCAAATATGTGTTGGTTATTATTAAATTAATACATGTCTCACAATTTAGTCATCATTAATTGTTGTTTGACATGTACCTTTAATTTACGGCCAGTTATACCAATTATATATCCATCAGGTGCTTGTACAATTTTGCTGGTATCTACATCTCCAGCTCCACTACAATCATATCTTTCAATAACTTTTGGTTTTCCATCTGAAGTTACCTATATGAAATACATCTGTCATATTACTATATTAACATTTGCTACATTTTCTTAATAATCAAGAAAAGTGGCTGTATCGTCTTTCAAAATGTATCATGCAAAAATAATATATGCAAATTTGCATGGACTTAAATGGATGCTGAAATGA